AGATAGAACTTTCGATTAAGGCTAGTCGTTCAAGCGTTCACATAGGTAATGAACTTATCGTATAATAGCAATAATTTAGGGTTTAAGTTTTGGATTTGAATTTTAAAGTTTTGAATTTAGAGTTTATCACCATAAACTTAAAACTGGTGGTGGGGGAAATGAAGACGAGCCCGATTAAGATCACATGGTTCCGTCGTCCCGGGCTGTCATTATCCCTGGTCTACTTAGTTAGAGGAGGTAGTCGACCCAACCTGACAGAAGGTACCTTGTCGGCAGCCATGGGTTGCTTCGTCCAAGAATACCTTGTAGACCTGGGTTGATGTTTGTCTAAGGAGATATATATGAATTCACCTTAACTGACAAAGGGCTTTATGCTTATCAAATATAACCTATGATACATCGCTTAAGGGTTTGACGCCTTTAGGGAACATACGGGCTTTGGCCGTGATCGTAATATAATGGTGCCATTTTGCGGCAAAATCACCCGATCAGAGGGCACGTGCCACGTCCCTGTTGGCAAGAGACTGTTTGAGGATGAATCAAAGTGATACACCCAACATGCATTCGCTTTTTGTGAGCTGAGGTTAATTTCAGATTTATCACCCCCGACAAACGATTGCGGGAGGTGAATGATATTTAGTTTTAAGTTTTAAGGTGATATATTTTATTTCAAGAATTTAGTTTTTTGTTTGATTTGAGATTTGAAATTTGACCCCTCCGGTTAAAATTTTAGATCAATACGACCATCATCGGGGTGACATTGAGGCCATTTTTATTTTTGTAAGAATTTGGTAGGCATTTTATACTTCAAGTTATGTCGATTCCAGTCCTTTCAAGGAGGAGGATAAAATTTGAATATTAGACCCGCACAACATTCTCGAATCGTCGGATTTGGGACTTAGATATGACGATTGGAGCACATACGGGTAATATCATTTGACCCTGCGCAGCATTCTTGGACATTAACATTTAGAAATTTATTGCATTTGTCGGAGCATATGCAGGGATGTATTTAGTTCAATGGATCATATTTAATATATAAGGGGCATTTTAAAATATTTAAACATGATCCATTGCACAAGTGATTTTACTTAGAAAATAGCCCGGGATTTCATTTAAGGGCCTACGAATGCCTTCTGTCCGCTTGTACACATGTTGCGGATCCTGTGGCGTGTAAGTGGTATTAGATTTAACTTATTGCATTTAGTTTGTTTTGACTCCTCTAAGCGTCAATTAGCACAGCTCGTAGAAGGTGTTTGCTCAATCAGTACTATTATATCATGCTTGTACTTGTAGGAGAATTGATTTCAAATTTATCACCCCCGACAAACGGTTGCGGGAGGTGGATGATTTTTAGTTTTAAGTTTTTAGATGATTAATTTCATTTTAAGCTATTTTGTCTTTGCTTGTAGGCTAGTTGTTGTGGGCACTACGAATTCCCTATTTCTTCTCATTGGTGAATTGTAGCATGACTTTAGCCAGTCCTTTTATTGATTGTTCATTTGTTAAAATTTTGGTTCCATTCGAGCTCGAGTCCTTTCCATTTGATTCAGATTAAGTTCAAGTGTAAATCTTTGTTGATCATTCAAGTCAAGTCAACTCAAGTTAAAATCAATTGTTGGTTGATTTTATTTCAAGAATTTGGATTTTTGTTTAACTTAGTTAGTTAAATTAATTAAGAGACTTAATGTTAAATTAAAATTTCATAGTTAATTTAAAAATTTTAATCTAATCGATTGATTTTAAGCTGTTTTTTCCAATCTTCCCAAAATTTGGCAAAGTCTTGAATTTCTGAGTAAATTTCGGCGGCCTCTCGGCGTCCCCTCCCCGATGCCGGGAGGTAAAGAAGTGCTCGACTCGGCCGGATCAAATCGACGGCGAGGAGATTTGGGAGAGCGAATCGATCCCATAAAAGAGTATTCGAAAGGTTCATGTAGTGGTTGTTGATTGCCGGAGATTTGTGGCACATTAGATTAAGTACTAAAAGTTTGAGAAAAATCTGGCAGCCTCCTGGCATCCCCTCCCCGATGCCGGGAGGTAAGAGAGTGCTCGAATCGACCGGATCAAATCGACGGTGAGGAGATTTGGGAGAGCGAATCGATCCCATAAAAGAGTCTTCAAGTCTTCTAATGTGGGCGATCAACTTGCTAATTTAAACAATTTAATTTAAATTTAAAAAAATACTTATAGTTATCTCAAAAATCCGGCAGCCTTCCGGCGTCCCCTCCCCGATGCCGGGAGGTAAGTGATGGCTCGACTCGGCCGGAGCGAATCAATGGCGAGGAGATTTGGGAGAGCGATCGAGTCCATGGGTGTCTGCGCTCCCTCGACCGGATTAACTCGACGGCCAAGGGCTTCGGGGGACCGGATCAACCCCGGGACTTCCTTCAAATCTTCATACCTCAAATACCGACGGGTTATACGGAGTATACGAGAATACCAAGAAGTTTTGCTAATTCCGAGTTTTTTCTGGGAAAAACTCGGTACAACTTTGGTATAACTCGGTATTTTGCTCCGTAAGCCTGGTATAACTCGGTATTGGTCTACAAATGATGGTATTTTCGTTATTGTTTGGTATTGCTTGGTATTTGCTCGATACAACTCGTTTTTTGGCGGGAATTTGCCTCCGACCGGACGTTCCTCTAACGTCGGATCGGAGGACGTAATAATTGTTACCATTCACCCATGGCATTGATGACTGGGGTAAGCACGTACACTTATGGCGTAAGTACCAGAAATTATTATGTGTCGGTCCGCCTAGAGGCAATATCAGAGATGCGTCACGTAATCCGGTACACACGATACATAATACTGGTACACGCAATAAAAAAAAGACGTGGGTGTGCCTCTAATTTGCCTCCGGACGCCATCTAAGTGACCGCTCAAAATAATTTTTTCTAAATATGAGGAAGTAGTTTGCTCCATTGCTTATTCCTCTTTAACAAACTTTTAATCATTTAGATAAACATAAAATAACCAAACATCGCAAAGTTTTATATTTTATTTTGATTTTCATGATCTTTATCTTCATTACATTTGAACAGTAAAATCATGAGATCTCATCTCAACTCTTGTTGATGCTTTGGCAGATTGTCAAGCTACTGTAAAAAAATTAACTTTTTTAAAAATTTATTGTAGAGAAGCAATTTCCAATTACAAAAATTTTCTTTAAAGCAGCAAAAAATGCACTGAACTAAATAGAAATTTTGGCTATAGTTTAAAAGAAGCGTAGTAAAAGTTGTCTCAAATGTAGGCTAAATTTAGCTTAAACCGTTAATTTTGGAATCTGATTATCTAATTATAAAAAAAAATAAATTAAGCAGCAATTATGATGCCTAATAATTTTTTCTTCATTTAATTACAATAGTGCCGTTCAACTGCTTAATTGGTGATACTAATAATGACAAATTGATATCATCATGTGGTCCTTATATATTAAAAAATATAGAAAGGGAATTTAATCTAGTGGTACAAGGAAGTAATTTTTTGTGACGTTATTTTTTTAATTGAATTCAATTTAATTTATATATATTGAATTATAATCTTATTTATTTATTTTACATAAAACTTAATTTAATATTCAAATATATTATTTGAAATTATCCTATTGGTGAAGCTAAAAGTGACTCTTTTTTTTTCTAGAAGCCAGCCCTTCCCTATATCTATAGATTACCCACTCGCCTAGCTTGCTTAATTCATAGAGAACCAGAGAGTTCATCATGGAAGAAGAAATTGGTGAGCTTCATATTATCATGGTGCCTTGGTTGGCCATGGCCATTCCTTCCTTTCTGTTCGAGCTTTCCAAATCCCTCGCTCTTAAAGGTCTCCAGATCTCCTTGTTTCACCACCCCTCCAAACATTCATCGCCTTCCTCCGATCCCCAAGACTCCTAACCCCATTATTTAAATTCAACCCTGTTCATCAATCTACCAATGAACATTGAGAACACTTCAGATCTACATTATGATGACAACAGACCCCTCCTTAGTCAAAACTACGACGCCTTAGAGCACACATCTCGTCTCCTTCCTCTCCGACCCTTCTCACTGCAAGCCAAATTGGATCATCTACGACATCATAGGTAGAAATTGGCGCTCCAGCACTAGCTTCTCGCTTAAACGTCAACTCCGCCTTTTTCACATCTTCAGCACGGCTGCAAAAGCATTTTTAGACCGTTTCAGGATACATGATTCGCCGGAAAAGATTCCAACTGCATCAGATCTTATCCCTTTCCCAAAACGGTTACTTTCGTCGATTTGAGGTCTCAGGATCCGCCCATTATTTCTAATAGAATCGATAATTCGGGCAAAGACATGATTCTTACCAGAACATTTAAGGAGTTTGAAGCCAAATGGATCGATTGCTTGGCGAAAATTGTTATCCCTGTGGGATTCCTCACTTCATCTATTGACGAGGAGGAGAGTGAGACAATGGATGAGAATATACCGAATGGCTTGATAAGGCAAAAGGAACAATCTGTGATCTATGTTGGTTTCGGAGCTGAGGCAATTTCTTACTAGAGAGCAGATTGATGAGGTCGCATTAGGTTTAGAGAAGAGTGAATTACCGTTCTCTGGGTTTTCGCGGGTGGGATTGCCGCCGGAGGGATTTGTCGAGAGGACTGCAGAGAGAGGGTAGTGTGGGATGGATTGGTTCCCCAGTCTCGAATTGCTGGGCTCATGAGCAATCGGCGGGTTTCTGACTCACGGCGGGTGGGGTTCTTGTGGTGAAGGGATGGTGGTTGGGGCGGCGTTGGCGGTTTTGCCGATGATAGAAAACATGGACTAAATGCAAGGCATTTGGTGAGAGTGGTTACGCGGTGCGAAGTGGAGAGGAATGATGAAGATGGTTACTTTTCTGGAGAGGAGATTGCGAGGAAGTTGAGGATTCTGATGGTGGAGGAAGAAGGAGAGGAGGTGAGGAAGAAAGCGAGAAAAGGGAAAGAGATTTTTGGGAGTAAGAAGCTTCAAGAGGAGTGCATCACTGAGCTTGTGAAGAATCTATGGCAGAGATGTAAGATGTCAGGTAAATCAATTTGAGTTGGAAATGTTTGTTTGATTTATTTTTCGTTTATGCATTTTTGAGACCTATTGGCTACCGTAATGACTCAAAGGTTTATGTTTTGCTTAGGATGACTTTCTTACTGCTTTTTTAAAGCAGCTTTTTAGTATAAAAATTTTAAATTTTTCGAAAAAGTTACTTTAGAAATAGTAAAGAAGCGCCCAATGAACCTTAGTTTGTGACAACTTTTTTGTTGTTTTTTTAAAACAGCTTTTTAGTACAAAAATTTCTTGAATTAGAAAATTTTATACTAGAAAGCCGTTTTAGGAAGCAGTACGAAAGGTGTCCTAGGCTTCGTTTAAGACAGCTTTTTTATTATTTCTTAAAGCTATTTTTTCATACAAATTTTTAAAATTGTATTAAAAAATTTCTTTAAGAAATAGTAATTGAAAGCATAT